GTATTGAACTCTTGCCCACACATTTTGACCCCCTAGATAATGGAGAAGAAAGCAAAGGTTAAAACACTGCTATTCTGTGTCAAAGCGTTTTTCTCAGCAAGTCTCCCACATTCTACCTTTTCAAGGAAAATATTATTTGTGGTAGAGAAAAAGAAATACCTGAAATTTCAGAAGAAAATTCTCCTGCACTGGGAGCAACCTTTGAGAGAAAAACATTATATTAGCGGATTAGATTTTTTGACAAGGATCGGCTTATTATAATATTTGCACAGTCCCTAAACTCACCTGGCCATCTCAGTTAATTCCAGCTTCCCATCATTATTTGAATCAAATAATTTCAGCTGAAAGACAGAATGTCATCATTGTAGCCATCGAAGAATGATGTATTGCACGAAGAAGAAAATTCAAAATAAAGCAGTCTGAGTTATCAATTACAGAAAATTCTAGAAATTAGCATTTCTTAAACTTTCGGTGCAGATTTTCAATTCTGTAACTTCCGTAATTGCCAGAGTTTCTCAGAACAGTTTAGAATAGTCAAAAAGAGTAGCAGTAATCTTAGCTAGGCTTCTAGAACACTGTCATTTCTTTTTCTTGCAAATATGTGTATATATGTATCAAGCTGTGGGAGAGACGGTGTTGACAGTATACAGCACATCCAGAGTCTCCAAACAATGGTATGAAAATAAATATTTAGTTTGTTTTTTTCTTTTCAAGCGTAGCAGGGTACACGCACAAGTAATAGGCAGATACTGTGACTAAATCCTTGGGGAATAGCAGTTTTGAGTAATTTGGAATTGTTTTAGTTTCCTTTGGATGCAGATACTCTGTAAAGCTCCCTCCTGCCCATTGCACACACATCCACGTCATATACCCAGACACACAAGGCGTAAACACTCAAACACTCACGTACCTGGACTGAGGGGCAGTCACGCTTTTAGAAAGTAGCAACTGCTACTCTACTGTATGAGTTATGGGTTAAATGTATTAATGTATTAATGTATTAAATGTATCACATGTGTATACTAAATACATGGAAAAGTAGCCGTATGACTATCCACAAAGAAGGGCGTGTACTCAGGTCATAATGGACATCAGCTTAGCGAGGTCTCTGGGCAGAAGGGCACCCCGTGTTTGCACCGTCCTCAGAGCCTCTCGCGGGAGGCATGTTTGTTCAGCGTCTGGCCCTGACGTTTTATAATTCATTGACCATATTTGCGATACTGCCGCCCTGTCTACTAAGACGCTGGACACCAGCTCTCACAGTTTAGTGCCCATAGGGAAATACTTCCCCACATGTATATTGAAGTTTTAATTAGTTCTTGACTAATTTGCTTCTCAGTTTTGAACTGGTTTATGACATTTAATCAGAAACGCCAGGCCAACAGGGGAAAATTCCCATCTGAGTGGTTTTAAAAAGGCTGCTTCACATT